GAGTGAGACAGGGTGAGGACTCAACTCCATGGAAAACCTTCCAGCCTCTCCTTGGGATGAGGCCAGGCTGGCAGAGGTGGAGGGATGAGAGGTCCTGGCCACGACTTGTTTACTGCCTGGTTTGCAGAACCACAGTTCAGAAAGGCTGAGGTGTAGACAGACTCAGCCGCAAAGACTAGGGAAGGGGATGCAGTTCGGGTTCCAGAACCATGTGAGGACATTGAAGGGAAGCAAGGGTAGGGGGTTTCAGCTGAGGGCTTGGCGCGGTACCCGGTTGGCTCCCGGCCTTCCTATGCTTGCATTTGCAGTGGGAGCCTGGACGGTGGCTCGGCCTCTTGGCTGAGTGGGGTTAAGCAGACCCTAGTCACTGGCGATGTCTCCCTCTCTAACACCTCTAAACCAGTGGGCCTTGGAGGAGGCGGGAGTCACCACTCCTGCTGTGGCCCCAAGGTCTGTGTCCCTCCAAAATCTGCTACCGTCTCAGGTGATGGCATTGGGAAGTGGGGCTCTGGCTGGGACAGGCCCTCAAGATGGGATTAGCGCCCTTATGAAAACATCGGAGACCTTCACTCACTTCACTCACGAGGCTGGGGAGGAAGTGGACGCACTCCTCACCCTGATGTGGACTTTCGGACCCTGTAGCACTGTGTAAGCAAAGTTTCTACTATGGGTCAGCTGTTTGTGCTTTTTGCTGTGAAGCCCAAGTAATACCGAAGGTCCTGAGTGAGGTTTGCCAGGAAGTTTTCCGGGAGGACTGAGACTGGGATCCCTGGAGACGCTGCCCACACCTGCCCTTGACTGGCCTTTGGAAACTTGTATTTTTGGAGGACTTCTGTTTTGTTTTTTGAGACAGGGCTTGTCATGTAGTTCAGACTGGCCTTGAATTCACTATGCAGTGGAGGCTGACCTTGAACTTGAGGTGATCCTCCTGCCTCAGCGTCCCCTGAACTTGGATTATAGCGTGTGCCACCATGCCTATCTTTAGGGGATTTGTACCACCCCTAGAATTCTCACTGTGGCTAATAGCACAAACTGCCCTCTTCATTTTAAACACTGTAATGCTGAGGGTCTAAAATTTTGGTTGGTGCCCAGCAAACGATGCCTGTATGACCACTCCCCATAAAACCCCGGACTTCTAGTGGGCATCCTGGGAGACAGCATTTCACGTGCGCTGTCACATGCCTGGCTACTGGAATTAAGCACATCCTCTGGGACTAAACTCGGAGTGGACTCAGGGATGCCTGTGTCCGGTCTCCTCTGGACTTTGTCCCCCATACCTTTCCTTTTGCTGACTTCGTAGCCATTTGCTGTCATAAATCATAGTGTCAGAAGGGTTATCTGCTGAGTTCTGTGAGTCCTGGGAGCAAATCACTGAACCTAGGGATGGCCTTGGAGACAATCAGCAGGGCAAAAGGGTAAACTTCGGTCAACCAAAGTCCCCTACTAATCCCTCTCAAGTATACACCTTCAACCAGCATGGTCCAGTAAAAATACACACAAGCATCTGTGTAATGCTGCTGCCATGCTTGTTAATTCTCACTATCTTAAATCTTAATATGCGGAGATCAGCTTGTCCAACCCTCATTCATATGTGAGAAAGCCGAGGCCCAGAGTTCAGGAGGCCTGAGTTTCGGAAGCAGAGGTGAGAGCCACCCACTCCTCCACTCTCCGCCTCCCGGCTGGCCCGGAGGACATAGATCTAATGATCACTTAAGAAACCAGAAGCTTTGGGCCTCACCTGGGTTCTGCACTCTTTGATTGCACAACAGAGTCCCTGTTTGCAGTCAGCACCAAGCAACAGGGCTGGGCGTCCCGCTTGCCACCTCCGCAGGCTGCCTGCATTGGCCTGTGGACCCCAAAGGCTGCTTGAGTTCTCAGCCCTCTTTGTTTGCTAACTTGTGTTCCAGCTTCCCTGAGGATCAGCACATCAGCACTTTTAAAAAATCCTTCCTGTTCCGTCCCCTGACAAGCAGGTCAGCATGGGTGGCTTCGGGGGGCGGGGGGAAGAGGTGCAGGGCACCCTCTGTCTGGCGTGCAGGACATCCTCGGACTGGAAGCCTCAGACTGGACTGCAGTTCTTCTCCAGTGTCCCTTTCTAAGCCTCCCTTTCCAGAGCCTAACGAGAATCATCTGAGCAGCTTACTCAGCGCCACCCACACGCCCCAGCTCCTAACAGCGGGACTCAGCCTGAGTTCCTGTCTCTCTCTCCCTGCTGGGGACTGAACTCAGGGTCTTCATGTAGAGCATCATTCCAGCATTCCATTGCTGTTATTTTTATTTCCCTCAGCACACACCATCCTCTGGTCAGCCACTGTTCAGCCACTTCTGTGCTCTCACTCTCTGAAGAGTTCTGGCCTCGGTTCCCTCAGGTCAGCATACCAGGGTTTAAGTCACCAAGTTGCCCAAGCTGGACTTGAACTTGTGATTCTCCTGCCTCAGCCTCCTAGAATGCCTGAGATTATAGGCATCTGCCAGACCAGTCTCGGGGGCTCAAAATGTTAGCGCATGCTAACTTGAAACTGATTAGTTGATATGCCAAAGAGGGTTTTATTTGATGTGAACAGATGTGACATTTTTCAAGAGCCATCTGAGGTGCTGGAAATGAAGTCTTTGTGTACTTTGTCATTTAGTGCAGAAATAGATAAACAGGAAATGATGAAGTTCAAAACAAAGGGTTGATGTGGACAAAATTGAACAATCTAGTTATGGTAAAGGCAGGAGGACATGAACAAAGCCCTTCCCTTAGGAAGTGACTTAGCTGATTCCTGAACGGCAAATAGCAGGAAGCCAGTTTGAGGGAGAGAGCAGAAGGAGGGCAGCACAGGTACAACCTGGAGAGGGAAGGAGCGAGGGAAGAAGGGAGGAACAGAGGCAGAGAGCGCGACAGTCATGCTGGCACAGCCCAGATGGCCTTGCTGAGAAAGGTGGCGGAAGGAGCAGGACCAAGAGGCAGCACAGGTGGGTTCTGAAGCACAGTCTGAAACCCTAAGGAATCTGGACTTTAACACGAGGGCAGCCGGGTGCTGCCTGGTGGAGAACATCGGTCAAAACAGAGGTGCCTGGGAACAAACAGCCCGCAGTGCAGGAAGTCTTGTGCCCTGGCCTAGGATTCCATCTCTTCTAGAGGCAGGCAGCACAGGGGGTGCCCCCCCCCCCAAGGAGGGCTCCTGAGCTTTGGTCTTTAGCCTTGGAACTGAGAAGCCTGGAGACCACACTGAGAGGCTGTCAGAGACCCGTGTTTAATGAGTGGCCACCTGGGGCCTGGAGAGGAGAGTAACTGCAGCTCCACAATCCAGGGGCAGCACCTTGCAGGTCCAGCTCCTTAACATCAGCCCAGGGCTTCAGGGGAAAAGTGTGGCATGAAGGTGAGCACGCATAGGGCAGGGCTCTCTCTTAGCACCCCCTCCCCCTCCAGGGTGTTAACGTGTGGCTGGGCACAGGCTGGGAGGGTCAGTGGATGCAAGAGAACACTATGCTCTGACAAGGCCCTCGGTGCAGATGTGTGTACGTCTGGGTAACTGTGAACCTCTGCATAGAAGAAAGAACAAAACCCAGGACAACACTGTGGACAGGACCAAGCCTAGGCTGCATCCTGCCCCCCCTCTCTTTCACTGGTTGCAGAGGGAACTTGGGGTTTGAATAAACAGCCTTGGTTCTGCACCCTAACACTCTGCAAGCCTTCCAGGCCTCCAGGGTTTGCTGTCCTCAGCATACATGGTCTGGGGACTGGCAGGGCTTCAGAGGGATGAGGACGGGATCCCCTACATCCCATGCAGATGGCACCCCTCAAGTCACAGCACAGGATGGCATCTCGAGGTGTCTCTGGGCAGTGAGAGATGTCTAGAGAACATCTAACCCCAGGAACCCCCCCCCCCCAATCAGGATGGCCTGGGCCTGCTTCCAAACCTCCTGGGAACCAGGCGGAGGGGGCTGCAACTCTGCCTTCCCCGGTGCTGGGGATCTGTGCTGACAGCTTCTCAGCTCCCACTGGGAGTCAGGTTTGGGGTACAGATATCATCTCTGCCCTTTATCTGGAGCCAGGCTCATTCCTGGACAGCTCGACCTACAGTGGCCTGGTTCCATCGTTAAGTGTCTCGATGCAGAAAAGCAAGTTTAATGATTGATCAGTTCAACTGAACATTAAACATCTGTTGTGTCCTGGACTGGAGCCTCTCACGTGGCTCCTGCGTTAAATCTGTTACTCAGAAGCACATCACCCAGCCAGAGTTGGAATGGCCTTGCAGGTCTCATCACACAGTTGGGGAAACTGAGGCAGAGAGGCAGCACAAGAGCAGTGTGCAAGTCAAGAAATGTACAGCCAGCTGGGAATTTAGCTCAGTGGCCTAAGTGTCTGCCTGGCAAGTGAGGTCATGAGTTCAATCCTTGATACCATACACACAAAACAAAACCATACAGTTTTCTTTTTTAATTTTTGTGGTACAGAGTCCCTCACAATGCTATGTAAAGGTTCAATTGTTACGTGTCAATTAAAATTTTTAAAAGGCTGCACAAGGAGCAAATATATTTCCTATTTGCAAGCCAGAGGTGTTCCATGCCCTAACCAGGCTGCATTCAAAGTATCAGTACAGTCAAATTTAGCTCAATTGCACAAGTGCGGGGCTGTAAGATCCCTAGTACAGAAAAAAAATCTGACTAAGTAGCCATGATGGCACCAGTCTGAAATTCCAGCTACATGGGAGGCTGAGGCAGGAGGATCACAAGACCAGGTTTCAAAAGAAAATAAAAACAAGTCGTGGGGGACCCTCCCACCCTGCACACTTAAACTTGTTTCTTAAGGACTCCCCAGGAAGCCCGAAGGGGATGGGGTGGGAGGCTGGGGGGAGAGCTCCTAGACCCCGAGGCGCGGCTGCATCCACGCCCAGACTCTCCAGTCTTGGTCTCCTGGGACGGGGTCGGGAGGGGGAGGCGGGGAGGATCCCCAGCCGTACTGCGATTGGCCGAACGGATCCAGCCTGGCTGCGGATTGGTCCGCTTCGAGGGCTTGAAAGGCAGCCGGTGCCGGGCGCCCAGACACTCGCGCGGTCGCACGGCCTCGGCCCTGGCAGCGCAGCCATGGCCCGGCTGCTGCGCGCGTCCTGCCTGCTGCCCCTGCTGCTGGCCGGCCTCGCCCCGCCCGGCCGCGGCCAGGAGAAGGCCAAGGTGAGTGGCCCGCAGGCAGAGGCAGGCCCGGGTGACCCCTTCCTAGCCCGCGCCTTCAGGGCCCCACCTGTGGCCCGCCGCGCTGGCTCCTGGCCAGGGCTCCACCGAACCTGAACCCAAACCCGACTGGTTCTGCTAGGTTCAAGCGGATGGGATAGAGCGGCCTCGCCCAGTTCCACCAAAAGTGGGGGTCACCTCGCTCTGTCCTGTGGTGTTGTGGGGAGTCCGCAGAACAAAGCTGGGAGCCTGGCCTCTGGGTCTCCCTGGGGTTTCCTGGGGAGACCAAAGGAAAGGAAAACCGAATGCAACTGGGGTGGGGTGGGGTGGGTGCTGGCGTCCAAGACTTGCTTGAGGCCAAGAATTACAGACACAGGTAGAAAGCCGGTCGGGGCATTGGTGGAAGGAGCAGACATCTGCGGCCGGAAAGCTTAGGACTGGATGTGCGCAATACTAAGAATTCTGGGCCTCAGTGTCTCCATCTGCAGGGTAGGAGGCAGGGTCACGATGACGCTGAGGACTTTGGAGGGGGCACTTGGAGAAGCTGCCCTTCAGCAAGCTGTGGGAGGCGGGGAAGGTTTCCTGGGCCACCACCCCACCACCCGTGCTGCCTGAGCTGAGACGGCAGGGCAGGCAAGGTCGTCCTGAGCTTTCAGGGGTCCGGGCAGGGTGACTGTGACTGAGGCTGGGGCGGTGAGGGGATGTGGGGTCCAGAGTGGGTCTGTGAAGGTGACGCAGCCCGCTTCTCTCCATGGTTATGGGAGCCAGGGTGGGTCTGGCAGGACAGGTCCTAAGAGATTCATGTCTCCAAAGCCCAGTTCTGCCCCATGCTGTGGAAAGCTGAGCATGGTGGTATACGCAGCTAATCCCAGTATTGAGGAGGCTGGGGCAGGAGGACGACTGTGAATTCGAGTCCAGCCCCAGCTATATTGTGAGGTCAAGGCCAGTTTCAGCTACAGAGCAAAACCCTGTCTCAGCCCCCTGCCCAACCAAAACCAAAAAATCCAAAGAAAACATGTTCATGTAAACTCAAGCGTTGGAGTTCTGTTTCTAAAATCCTCTGGGTCTTGAGTGTTTCAACAAGCTCACAATGCTGGTTGCAGGAGCAGGGTTCTGTCTCAGCCCCAGGGCCATTAGTCTGCTCCGCCTCTGAGCCCGGCCCAGGCTGGATGGCCACACACGCCCATTTCTGTCCAGCCTGTTCCAGATCACCAGCTCAGGAGGCGTCTTGCGGGTGGGAAGGGGCCGAGTCTCATGCTCAGCAAGTGAGTGAAAGTGCAGCGATTGTGGGCAGGCTGGACTAGTGTCAGCCCTGTCCCCTGTCTGGGGACAGCCACAGCGGGGAAGACCTGGCCCTGCTCCAAGCAGGCAGCAGGTAAATGTGGACCCTGTGGTTACCATCATAGCCACGCTTTCTGCATAACTCAGAGGCTGGTTGGGCTCAGAACAGGGTGCCACTCAGAGCCAAAGCTTGCTGGCTGTTGACAGCTAGACATGCCTATCACTATATCCTGGCCCTCAGAGCTGCTAGGAGATACCAGCATGGGAAGGTACCGGCTCCCAGAAGACGCTTTCTTGCCCACTCGGAGCAGGACAGAACTGAGGGACCTCCTCTCTCTCCTTGCTGTAATCCTTTCTCAGTCCATCTCCCTGCCCTTCCTCTACAAAGGACTGCAGAAGCCAGAGGGAGTGACTGCCGTGATGTACATGGAAACCTAGTAACTGCTGTTTCTAGGTGACTAAAGTAGGCAGAGAGGATCATGGGACCCCAGGCTGATATCAGGACTGAAGGGCTCTTAAGGCAGAAGGGCTCTGGTTCCATCCCATAGTGGAGCTGGAAGCCCAGAGAGGCAGCTGGCTAGGCACAGGTCTCCTGCCTCCCACCAGTCCAGAGTGTCTTTCACAGCATTGCGCTGAGGGGAGTGTTGATGGGAGGAGAACCACACAGACCAGCAGCCTTGGCCGGCCAGGGGCTGAGTGTCCCTCCCCACCCCTCAGGCCCACATCACTTGTCTCCTGTCCCTCAAGTCTTCTGCCTCCTCTGGCTGCCCCGTCCAAGACACTGGGCTGCAGGGTTCCATGGGCACAGGGGAGGGGAGAGGCCACATCCCTGGGGTGCAGGGCCACCTGCTGACCCATCATCATTGGCCCAAGCAGCAAGCATGGCGGCTTCACCATCACCTTTCCTCCTAAGGAGGATGCCTGCTGGCCAGTGTTACCATGTTCATACTGCTGGTCCTCCTAGGCCTGTCTCCATCCTTCTGCGGGGACCTCAGGGCTCTGTAACCCTGCTGCAGACAAAACTGTCCCTAGTCCCCAACCCTGGTGGTGCCTGTGCTTCTCAGAGCCTGTTGTGTGCTCCCAATAAATTCTTGCAGCCGTCTGAGAGCCATGTGGGGTCACCCTTCACAAGGCCCAGATGCAGGAAGACCAAGCCCTGCGCCAGGCGTTGCTGTGTCCTCCCCCACCCCCAAGGCTGGTGTCAGCTCATCTTCCTGCTGTTTTCCAGCTGACTATTTATACAGCCCCTTGGTTTTCCTCCTGGTTTCCCGGAGATGGCATGTGGGTCAGGATGGAGCATAGCCAGGGTGGGTTGGGCTGTGTGCTCTGTGCTATTTGCACTGTACAGTGGCGGTGACAATGGGGGCCCTTGGAAGCCTCCACGAAGGCAGGATGTGGCCTTGGATCTCATCCAGCCTCCGGCACCCACAGTCATGGGTGTGGAATATTGGGCTCACTGAGGAAGGGAATCACCTGGCCGAGCAGGCCTGTCACCCGCCAGGCAGGCCTGTGGTGCCTTCAGGAGGGAGACAGCTCCTTCATACCCTACTGGCCTCCCAGTGCCACTGTCACCCAGTCAGGCGCAGGGACCTGGACTCACGGGGTTCCCAGAACCAGAGGAGAGCAGGGAGTGCAGGGACTCTGCACCTCTGCCAGGAAGTCTGCCTTCCTTTTTGCCAGGTGTTTGGGGGCTGTCTTTGTCCCTGCCTAGGATGAAGGCCCAGGAGGACCTCAGAGATCACTGAGGCTTCTGGCCTGGCTTTTCCCTTCCATGACCCCTGCCCCTGCTGAATCATGTCACAGTTAAACAACACCCCTTCTGGAGTACTATCTTCTGGGCTAGAACCCCCTGGATCATGGGCAGTGTCCACAGGTTCATGGACCCCTTCCCACCTCCCCTGCTGGCTTGCCTTCCAGTCACTGGGTTGAGTGTGGCTGGCCAGCTCGAGGGGACACGGGGCAGCCCAAGACCACAGAGTTCGAGGCAGAGCAGGGGGTGGGGCCCTGGTCTCCCTCCCTCCCTCCCCAGCTTAGAGGTTGACTTGGAGCAGCAGCCGGGCGGAGAGGTGTCCTGGTCACCGTCACAACCGTCCAATCACCTGGAACATCTGGTTCAGACCAGGTGCCGTGGCTGCCCTCACGGGCAGAGCGGGCCTCCAGTCTGGTTCCCAGGCCTGCTTCCCTACCGGGACTGTCCTTTCCTTCAGTCTTCCACACCTGGGGCCTCCATTCCCCACACCCAGGCTGCCTCCTCTCGTTGTTTTTCCGTCATGGTGGCCTGCTAAGGCCTCGTCGTCATGGGCCTGGACTGAGTCCCCAGCCCTGCAGCCCCGCGTGGTCAGCCCTCCTGCTAGCAGTTTCCCTCCAGTCCGGCAAATGCCCTGCAGTGGGCACCCCCGTGGGGTGATGATCACGAGGCAGCTCCTGAGTCTGCAGCACCCTGTACTGAATGCTGCGGGCAACCGTTTAGTTTCAGTGTGGCACCGAGGCACTGTGGCCGCCCTGGGAGGGGAGAGGCGCCGAGGCCTCTACTGACTCCCAGTGCCGGGCTCGCTCCGCAGACAGACTGCCACAGCGCTGTGAGCGGAACCATCTACGAGTACGGGGCCCTCACCATCGACGGCGAGGAGTACATTCCCTTCAATAAGTACAGAGGCAAATACATCCTTTTTGTCAACGTGGCCAGCTACTGAGGTCTGACCGACCAGTACCTTGGTAAGAGCCCACCCACCTGCCGCTGCTGTATTCAGGGCTGTGTCTGTCACAAGTCTCAGCTCCACTGTGCATGTGTGTGTGTGTATCTGTCTGTCTGTCTTACTGGAGATAAAACACAGGGCACAGTGCTACTTCTTTAGCCCTTTCTGAGGCAGTGTCTTGCTAAGTGGCGCAGGTTGGACTCAAAACTCGAAATCCTCCTGCCTCAGCCTCCCGGAGTGCTGGGATTACAGGTGTGTGCCACACACCAAGCCTATAGCATGTTTGTGCAGATGACTCCATAAACGATGTGTGAAGGCCTCAGGACACACATAGAGCCTTGGTTATCCTCCTCCATGAGTGGACACCCTGCTCCCGCCTCCCACACCGTGCCTGCAGCAAGAAGCCATAGCTACAGCTTGGTCTTCGTGAGACCCCTCCCCTTCTCTTGGCCCCAGTCTGAAAAGCAAGTGTGGGCACGTGGGGAAGGCGGAGTCTGAAACAAACTTGAGGTGACCCACGTCACCCACCCCTCACCTCAGTAGACTGGCAGTGGAATGGGCACACGGTGACTCCCTAACACCCTCAGGCCTCCCTCCTCAGCTGGGCCAGGGTACTAAGCCCAAGGAGTGGGCAGTCAGTCTGCTGACGGGGTGGGGCTGGCTGGCAGGGCCCAGGTGCTCAGGGCGTGTGAGCTGAATGGATGGATGGATGGCGGGCAGCATGGCCGGCGCCAGTGCTCTGTCCTCAGCAGTGTCTGAGGTGGGCTGAGTGCCCGTACTGAAGACAAAGCCGAGGGTGGGGGGTACTGGGGAGGCTCCCGGGGATCCCAGAGGAAGGAGGGCACTGGACTGGGCTCAGTGCCCAGAAATGCATGGTGCCTGTAGGTGCCAGGGACCTTGCCAGGAGCCCTGGAGCACCTGCCTTGCTGCACCAAGGAAGTGTTCGTCCCTTTTCTCAGCCCAGTCCAACGGGACTGGCGTCAGAGGGCAGGATCTGAACCCCAGCTTTGGGGAATATACTGTATGGGTGAGCCTGGCCCCTCCCAGGCCCCGTGACCTCCCTGTGCAGGGTGAATGGTGGGCACCTTACCAGGCCACCCCTCTGCTCTTCCCGGCCCAGAACTGAATGCACTACAGGAGGAGCTCGCACCTTTTGGCCTGGTCATTCTGGGCTTCCCCTGCAACCAATTTGGAAAACAAGAGCCGGGAGAGAACTCGGAGATCCTCCCCAGCCTCAAGTGAGTGCTCGGTGTCCGGTCTCCCTCGCGTATACACGTGCCCATGGTGCTGACCACCTGCACCATGACACCCTCTGTGAGGAGCCCCCACCCCGCTCCTGGGGTGAGATGCCAGGGCTGCGTGGCAGGGCAGCGCAGAGGGGAGGGTCCTGAGAAAGCCCACTCAGCAGCCCACCCCAACATAGGTGTGTCACAGCCTCTTCCCGGTTCTGTGCCTGCCCCCAGGACCCACCTGCAAATGTTCTTGTTCCACGCAGATACGTCCGGCCAGGCGGGGGCTTCGTGCCTAACTTCCAGCTCTTTGAGAAAGGTGATGTGAACGGGGAGAAAGAGCAGAAGTTCTACACCTTCCTCAAGGTGAGAGCACCACCTACCCCGTCTTGGGGCCCGGAAATGGGTGCTAGGCACACCCTGGGAGCAGCTGCTTAGGGTCTCAGTCATGCAGGCACAGTGGGCTGGTCGGGCTGCCGGTCCTCTAAGTCCCGAGCTGGTGCTCCCTGATCCTTGGTGGGGTTCTGGGCTGCTGTGACCCGGGATTTGGGCGGGGCCAAGTTAAGCCTACACCACTCTCCCTCTGCCCAGAACTCCTGCCCGCCCACCTCCGAGCTCGTGGGTTCTCCCAACCGCCTCTTCTGGGAACCCATGAAGGTCCATGACATCCGCTGGAACTTCGAGAAGTTCCTGGTGGGGCCTGACGGCAGGCCCATCATGCGCTGGTACCACCGGACCACAGTCAGCAATGTCAAGATGGACATCCTGGCCTGCATGCGGCGCCAGGCATCCCTCATGGCCTTGGGGAACTAGCTGCTGCCCACTGTCCCGGCCCTGCCCAAGGAGGCTATGGAGGCCCCGACCAGGAAGAAAGCCCTCCCCACTCCATGCCACGTTTACCTCTGCCCCTGCCCAGCCCAGCCTACCAGGGGTGCCCACAGCCCATGCAGGGGATTGAAACCCTTCTGTCACCCACTCTGATCCAAAACAGTAACTCACTTCCACAAGAGCCCACAGTGCTAGGTCTGATGATCCTGCAGTGACCTGGACTGTGATGTCCGCACCTCCACACCTCACCGCACTGCCCACCCCTCCTTCCTGAAGGGCCCCCAGACCCCATCCCCACCAGCCACGTAGCCCAAGTGCCAGGCCCAAGTGTGGGCCGCGTCTGCATGAGGGAGGGGCCCGAAGCCCAGCGGGCGGACCTCCCCCGAGCCTGCCCCCGGCCAGTTCTTAGTGCATTCAGGCTGTGCCTAGGCAGTGACGCTGCCCCGCCTGTGCCCTGGCACCCCGCCCCCACTCCCCAAAGTAAAGGCCTTTCTGCAGCAACTGAGCCCAGCAGTGCTTCCTCAGCAGTGGCGCCGGCATGTGGGGAGGGAAACAGCTGGGGGCGGCAGGGAGAACTGGGGCCCTCCCCACTGCAGCTGGTGCTGGATGGGTGGGCCTGGCCTGCTCAGGCCTCCTGTAGATGCACAATGATGTAGCTAACTCGGATGAGCAGTAGAGCTACTGCGTGACGGGTGGGTCTGCTCTGTGACTGCTGGCTGGCGAGGTGGTTTCTCCCCCCGGAGTGGGCTCCCACCAGGGTCCTCAGTGCCCCAGCAACTGCGGGCAGACACAGAAGCAGGACTGGAACACACACACCAGTCGCAGGATGCTAACTCAACTTGGATTTATGTCCACGATTTGTGCAAACAGGTGCATAAGGACAGGCAGCCAACCTGTGTGGGCCTGCTTCCTGACATGGGGGCCGGGACCCTGCACAGATGTGGCCGCAGTGGCCTTCACGCTGGGCTGTGGTAGCGATGACGGGCCACTGCCATGGCCTCCTGCTGGTCCCCGCTCGATCTTCCTGCAGCTCTTCCCAGAGGGGTGGGGATGGGCATGGGGCAGCCCTGAAACAGCACTTGAAGCAAAAATCAAACATACACGCAACTGGACCTGGCACCCAAGAGGCCAGAAACACTTCCACAGAGGTTTCGGAAGGAAGGGGCCTGGCTGCACCCCACTCTTAGGAAGGACATCCTGCGCCTTCAGAAGAGGTCGGCAGTCGGAGCTAGCCAGGTCTTTCCATGTGTTGGTGGCCGCCAGGTGTGAGTTCCTCCCCGGGGCTCCAAGGGCACCTCCCCAGTCTTGTGGAGTGCACCGCCTATGCCAGCCTCCTGTTCCGAGGCACTGGCAACACAGCATGTGGCCTCTAGTTCCTCGATGATCTGACATCAGCCAGCTCTGCAAGATGAAGGTGGAGCCAAATGACACAATCTGGTCTCACTGTGGCCCCTCAGTCATTTTTTGCAGACTCTAAATAAACAAAAATTTTGCTGACTTAAAAATTATGTGGTGCAGTTAGTTTTAAGGTCTTACATGGAAACCAGGTCAGTCTCAATGAAGATCAGTGAGTTAGGGAGCAGTTCAGGGTAGGGGACGAGGGGGTGTCAGCTCTGCTGGCCAGACCACCCATCCGAGCAGCCTCAGTCAGGCACAGGACTGGCCAGCCCAATCTCCTCTCCAGGCGCCGATCCGCCCACTCTATCCATCCTCTAGCCTCTGCTCACACTGTCTCCAGAGCGAGCTGGCTCCACTGCAGCTCGATGGCAACTCTTCTACAAAGTTCCTTTTCATGCCAGGATAAACGTGGTCATCCCACCACTTGCTCCTGAGTCCCAAGGGTGAAGCACTGCCTCCCACCCCACGAGAGCTCCAGTGGGAGAAGGGCAGCCACGAGCACCCAGAGTAACCGGGGCCCTGGTCCCTCCCGAGTTACTCGTGGGCAGCATGGCCAGAGGATGCTTCTGGAAACGCCGCTCTGCTCTAAAATGTCCAGTCACTCCACACCATGCTACAGACATGGTCAGTCCCACTGCACGCACCAAGGCCCTGCCCACACCTCCCTCCTCGCCTTGCCCTTCTCCTTCTGCACCTTTTCCTTGGCTGCCCATGCTGGCTTATCTTTGGGCTTCAGGCTGGCCACCTCCCCACACTCCTGCTAAGGCAACACAGCCTGGATCCTAACGTCCCCCTAGGCCTACTCAGTCCAGAAGCAGCTGCACACCTGTGGTTACTGAAAGGCAATGGACTCTCAGAAGGCGGCCCAGTGGGAGGAGGACGGGCACTAGGGGCACAGCCCCTCCTGTTTCTCCTCAGTTCCTGACTGACCCTGAGACTCTGCCAACCCTCCCACGATGCTGGTACTGCCATAGGCCAGAAGTGACGGAGCTGAGTGACCATGGACACTGTGAACCAGAGTCAATCTGTCCTCTTGGGAAGCTGATCACCTCAGGTATTCTTTCCCAGGGGCACACAGCTTACAGAAACCCGGTTGGTCCTGAGAATGGGGTCACCGCTGTGGCCGTCCCTAATGATGCAGGTTGGAAACCTTTGGGACTGTTTTGTAGGAGTCTGGAGGGGCCTGGGCAACACCTCAAGTGCTGCTGTGAGGGGCCAGCAGCACGTCTGTGAGGATGCTGGTCACAGTGGGCGGTACAGGCTACTCACGGGCTTCCGGGGGAAACAGCTCTGCTAGGAGCTGTGCGGAGGCTGCCCTGCTCGCTCTGGCGGGGGACCTGTCTACTCTCCTGGACCGAGTGAGCTAAGCCTAGAGGGCAGGGCTGAACTACCTGGAGGGAGAGATTTCCAGGCCACACAGACATTGGCAGTGGATTTAGCCAGAGTTACTGTGAGAACAGGGAGCAGAGAGGCGAAGCACAAAGATTAGAAAAACGGCTTTTGTAGCCGTTTGTCTACAAAAACAGCACACGCACAGTTCCTGTTGAAGAGAGTGAAGATTCGTGCCACTGAGACAAATGACAGTAGCGGCCCTAAGGTCATCTTGGGAACACCCAAGTCCCCAGCCACTGCAAGCCGCTCGCATCAGGCTGGGGGATGGGGATGGGAAAACAAGGCCAGGGCTGCGAAGGGAAGCAGGGGTATGGACCGCCCGGCCGGCCAGGCCCTGCCCTCCCTATGCCCAGAGAAGAACGTACACCCCAGCCCCGTCCCACGACTGTGTGTGGGAAGCAGGGATATTTCTTCATGGCTTCACAGGGTTCATAGCTGACTCTGCCTTGAGTCTTGGAGCCCTGGGACATGGACTTCAGCCATGCTCAACAGTGAAGACCCTGGTCCCCTTGGGGACCCACCGTATACACTGTGCATGATGAGCCTCCAAGGAGGCTGAGGAGGGCGGGGCCCTCAGCACGTGTCACAGGGGACCCCAGCCTCTCCTGTCCTGTTTCCTAGCTGCCATGAAGTGAGCAGGCCTGGCCTGCCCCGTGCTCCTTCTGAGATGTAGTGCCAGCCCAATCCCAAGGCAGCGAAGCCGAGTGAACATTGAGACTCTAAGCCCTCCTTACGCCCTCAGGTCTATGTCCTGGCAATAGGGAGCAGCGTGTTGCTTTCTGCAAGAACATCTTCCACCCCGACGTCTTCCCCCAGCGAAGGCCATTCATGCCGAGCTGCTATGTGGTATTTAAAATTCACTTCTGCCTCCCTAGACACCAGACTGTCTTCATCCACCGTCTCAGGCCCCTTCCCCCGGCCCAGTGCTGGCATGAAGACTACTACCATGAATGAACGGTCTCGGTGCCCGCACCTTGCAGCCCAAGTACCCTCTGCTCAGCGCCATTTCAGAAAGCTGGGCATTTCTTCCACTGAGGTCAGAAAGCAACACGGCCTCCAAACCAGGCCAGTCCTGTGGGAAGGCATCTCCCTCTCGGGAGACAGCTCCAGTTCGAGGCGACCACACTCACCTGGTTCTGCAGGCCTAGCAGTGGACGCATCCATCACTTGGGAGCTCTGATTCCGAACCCCGCCACAGGGTGGGCGCCAGGTGTATTCTGGCTGCAACAAGACTGGTGCTTAATAATCTGTAACCACACTGGCCGATCACAACAGCACTATGGTGCCTGAGAGTACCAGGGAGACACTGATGTGCGTAATTGTGTGGGTTAATGTTTCCAGGTGAGGAAACCGAGGCTGGGGAAGGTTAAGAAATGTCACCCAGCTCGGAAGCTGTGCTCAACCTCTTAGCTTACGCTGCTCTCCGTGTTTCAAGCTTAGATCACTGGGGAGCACCAGAGAGGATGCCAGGGACTGTCCAGGACAGAGCTGGGAATGTGGCAGAAGTTCAGAAAAGGGGCAGATGACAGCATGTTTTGGAGAAAAAGAAAAAGCAAGGGAAAAGGAAAGAAAATAAGAGGAAAGAAAAGGGAAAGAAAAGAACGAGGAAACACCTAGTCAAGCTCTGGCAGCTGCTGAGTGGAGACTCGGAGGCTGAGCTCCCTCTCACGCCCTGGAGGCCTGAGGGAAGCCTGCTCCCTGCCCTGTGTCTCACTCAGCCTTCTCCACTACGCCAGGGACCTGGTCCCCTGTCCCCTGCTGCAGTGTTAACACCCTCTCTGACCTGCCGCCCTGGCCAGGGTCTCCAGCAGCCTCTGGGTGGACCCTGCAGGGAGGGCACAGACTCACCAGATGGAAGAGGCGTGAGCCAGGGATGGGGGGCGGGTGCTCCATGCCCATGGGGGGTGGAGGGTAGCGGATCTGGGACCAGTCCTCGAAGCCGTGGTGTGGCACCATGGCTGGCATGGGTGGGTAGGCGTAGGGGTAGGCCCCGCACATGTGCTCTGGGTGGGACTCCACGTGGTAGCGCTCTCCTGAGGCCTGTGGGCACGGGTGACCAACAGTGACCACAGTGTCCTCAGTGTTTCCAAGCCTCACTGGACAGCTGGCAGAGGGTGTCAGCATGGCCCCTGCCGCCCCGCCCCATCAGAAGCCGAGATTCGCTGCACGCAGCTCACCTTGGCCTTCCTTTTCTGCTGCCTTAAGGCTTCTCTCGCCTTCTCCTCCTCCTTCATTGCTTTCAGCTGGAGAAGGGGCGGGAGAGAATGATGCAGGTGGTTCCTGGCTAGGCGGGATCCAGGGCCTCCCTGGCCGTGAGAGTGGATTGGCTGCACCCCAGGAAGTGCTGACATGGGTGTGAGCCCCGTTCTTTGTGGTGGTCAGGATGCAGGTCAGGAGGGTGTGCTGCTTCTGGGCTTTCCTCTCAATGTCAGATTCTGCCCTCGACCGAGTGGTGACCCAGGGTCTGTTCCTATATCTGCATCTCTTAGCGTCATAAGGGACAGTGCGGCCAGGGATCTCAGACGCAGACCCCACTGCGCACAAGGGCAAAGGGCCTGTGAGGCCTAGGGGAAGGAGAGCAGCAAGTGCTCTAGAGCCCTCATCTCCCTTTGAAAAGGACAGCCCGCTGGTCCAGCTGCACGCACCTGCGTGTTGGACAAGGTGACCTGGGCCTGCAGCTTCTCCAGCTGCTTCTTGAGCTCCTCCTTCTCCTCGTTCATGCGCTCTCGGTCACTGCGCTCCCGCTGGAAGTCCTCCTCAAAGATCTTCACCTGGCACGACAGGGGCCGGCAGCTCTAAGCCCAGCCCATGTCCCGTGCTCCCCACCCTGGACTGGGCCTCATCACAGGTGGGGTGGGTGCCCTCCTCCTGCCCACACTCCCGACTTGGAACAGAACAGTTCTGCATTCTTCTCCCTTATGTTCCGACTTCAAGGATGTTATCTGAACAAAAATCCATGGCTTAAAAAAAAAGATGAGCAGCCATCAACCAGTAGAGCCTTCCTTCACTGTGGCTGCATAGGTGGGGCCACAGACACGCTGCGTGGCGGTGGTGGTGCTGGTGGTGGTAGCAGTGGGATTTGGTCTGCTGGTGCTAATGACAGGGCTCTGGGGCCCAGGTGGGGACCGTGCAGGTTCTCCCCCTTCCTGCCAATCGCAGACACTGACTGGGACCAAGATGGTTTAGGAGGAGGAAGAGCAGCATTATGTGGCCTGTGAATGTGCGGGGAAGCCAGAGCCTCTCACTCCTCCGTCCCGTGTCCCTCAGAGGACTTTTCTACTTGTAGCAAACACATAGGTTTCTCCATTTACAGTAGAGAAAGGAAGTTCCCTTTTACATACGATTACTTCAACTATGTAGTTTTACATAGCTGCTAAGGCTGGGGCAGAGGGGAATAAGTCACCAAGATGGTAGAGAAGGACATAAGCAGTGTGGGAACAGGCCAGCAAGGGGACCAGGTCACAGGCCCCCTAACTTCCAGCCCCCGAGGAGGCTGCGGCTCCCCAAGCCTCACCTGCTGCTTCAGCAGCTCATTCTGCGTGGCCAGCTCCTGCTTCCTCAGGAGGCTGCCAGCGCCCTCCGGGCTGCCAAAGGCTGTAGGGGATGACGGGGAGGCGTGGATGCTCAGCGCTTCCTCCAGGGCCTGGGGCAGGGAGAGAAGGGACAGGGCCGACAGAAAAGCAAGATCAGAGCCAGGTCACCTTCGAGGACCCTCTTCCTGCTCGCAATGGCAGTAACAACCACCGTCAGCAGTACTATCACCAAACGTAACCCTAACATAACATCCCATGCACATATCTCACAGAAGCCCCTCCAGACCCGGGAGGGCACGACTACTCCCAGACGTGATGGCTGACATGCTGACACCCAGACACCCCAACTGGCTTGTCCGAGGTCACACAGCGAGTGGCCCAGCACGCGGCCTTCACTAGCAGGCCAGTGGGGGCCTGTGGAGCGGGGAGCTTGCTCTTGTGTGTGAGGTTCAGGTCCTGGTCCCTAGGCCAGGGAGGGAAGCTCGGTCTTGACAGCCAGTGGGCCTGAGACGCTGCACCTGTGTGGCTCTCCCCGTCAGCAGGGCACTGCTCCTGCTCTTCTGTGGTCACCAGACTGGATTTTAATTTCTTCTTGTGTGACAGTTTACCTTTCTCACACTGAAGTTAAGTGAACACCAATAAGTAACATTTTCAAAGTAAAAACAGCAAATCCACACCTTCACAAAATAGTCCTTTATAAAGTCAATGGCATGCTCACATCTTTCTTTCCTTGTTTTTTATTTTTTATTTTTTAACAGGGTCTTGCTATGTAGCCTAAACTGGCCCAAACTCAGTTCTCCTGCCCCATCCTGAGAAGCTGGGATTAAAGGTGTGTGCTGGCATACCTGGCACCTCGGGTTTCTGAAGGTCCCCATTAACTGCTTTCCCCATCCACCCTCTCAACACTGAACGTTAGAACTCTGGGCGCCTTCCAAGGTCAGGGGTCCTTCTGCTCCTGGCTTCAGCCCCCTCAATGGACCACTCTACCACCCAGTCTCCACCCTGCATACAGGGCATGCAGAGGTCCCTGGATTGCCCCAGGGCTGTGTGGCCACCCCAGGCTCTAGGGACCCAGGCATCCCCTCAGGGCTCCGTTCTGTCTTCCTCTAGCCCAGGTCCAAAATGAGAGGACCAAGGCCCGGGACAAGGAAAGACTTGCTAGGCCAAAGACACAGCAGGTGGCCTGCCCTGCACCACTCGGCTGTATATGTTTGTCTCGGTCCCCAGCCCTGCCCTGGAAACTTATAGCTTCCTCCTTATGGGGAGCAGCAGAGCTGGGACTTTACCAGCACTCAAACTCAAGAGTCCTCAGAGCTCAGAAGACTCACTTTTCTCCCCCTGGGAACACCCCCGAGGCCAGGATGGGGCATAAAATACCAAAACCAAGAGAAAGGGCTTTTCCATCAGGGCTGGGATCCAGGTGAGCCATATTCACGCCAGTGCCCCAGAAGAGGGCAGGAGGCAGAGGAAAAAGGAACATAGTTGGCACGGAACCAGAACCAAGTCACAAACTCAACAGCGCTGCCAGGCCTGCAGGGATGCTTGCTCACCATACCCCTGCTTGGCACGGGAGCCAGAGCAGGACTCATAGGATCTGAACCAGACAGCAAGAGCAAGGTGCAGAGTCTGCAATGGCTTGGGCTGCCCAGAGGCTGTCCTGCCCCAGCCTGCTCAGCCTGGTGCAGGATGGCTGTGGCTTCACCCAGCATCTAACTGGAAGCCGTACGTGCCCAGATCCCACCACATGGGTAGGCACTGGGAGGTGGCAGATGGCAAAGTGGGCGTTTGCAGGATGGAATCGGCAAGGGGCTGCAAGGGTCACCCCTGTGAGTGGGGGCAGCGACAAGGGGTGCATGATGCAGGCAGCGAAGGGAGCCCCCCACCCAGAACAGCTGGACGCGTACCTTGTTGAGCCGCTGGATCTCCTTCTCCTGGTACTCGCGCTGCCGGGTGAGAGGGCTCAGCTGGTCCTGCAGGTGCTTCACCTTCTGGCGCAGCTCCTTGGCCTCAGCAGTCAACTGCTCCTTGTCCGTCTGCAGGGGCACGAGTCGGGTAAGCAGGGAGCCCCACCTAGCCCTCATCACCAACACTGCTGTCTCCCTTGTTTGGCCATCTTGTACCACTTGTGTGAGGTGACCAGAGGATGCACAGAGACACAGTCTTCCCGCCTGCTGCACAGGAAGCCCTGGCCTCTGCGGAGATCTGGGCTCGCCCACAGCCCCAGGGAGGGGCCTTCAAAGGGCCATGAGCCCCAAATCTGAACAGAGCCTTTTATCTGTGTGCAGCTGCCTAGGAGAAAAGCCAGCTTCCACCAGCCTCACACAGGAGTTTGCTGTGACCGCCAGTGGGGTAAGCTGTCCTTCCCTCTTGAGCCTGGAGAGAGGACACTGAGGCATGAGGAAGGGCATGCTCTGCCCTTGAGCACCAGCTCTGGCTCCTGGACCCCACCCCACAGGAAGAGGTGCTAAAACAGCAGGAGGGGTGGGGGACTGGGGAGGTAGGGGCAGTGCGCTGTGCCTTGCCTCCTCTATTTCAATCTTGGACTTGGCCAGCAGCAGCTTGCGGTCAAAGTCACGCTGTTTCTGCTCCCGCTCGGCCTCCAGTTCCGACACCTGCTTCTGCAGGTCTGCCAGCTTCTGGCGCAGCTCAGTGATCTGGGTTGAGAGGCAGCGAGAGGAAGGGGAGGGCAGAGGCACAGAATGCTGAGGATCTGGGGCAAGCTCCCCTTCACTGGTCCCTGACTATCACCCGGCTTCTCCTCTGAGCCTCCCTGCAAGGCTCCAAACTGCCCAGAGGGCAGCGAGATGAAGATGCCCTGCGGTCACAGCCAGGAGCCCCCGCAGTACCTTGTGCTCATACTGCTGCTTCATGGACCGGAAATGCTGGTCCCACTGCTTGTTCACCTCCAGCAGCTGGGGAAGAGATGGGCTATGAGCAGGGAAGCCCAGAGAGTGCTGCCTCCCCGTCACCACATGGCAGCCTCCCGACATGCGTGCGGTGTGGGGACAGTGGCTGTGAACACCCAGCCTGCCTGCTTCTTACAGGCTGGGCTCTTCGGGTGCCCCTCACTGTCTGCCACCGCACGCTCCCGGGGCTAGCACGGCGAGGTGACAGCCAGCCACCACGTGGTGGACAGTGAGTGTGTGCCTCCCAGGAGGGCCACCTGAGGACCAGGTACCAAATGTCCCCTTCTCATCAATGAACAGATGCCTGGGTGCTGTGCTAAGTGAGGCCAGACAGAAGACGAGGGAAGAGCTGGAATTCTGGGAGCTGCGGGCTGGTGGGGAGCTGAGCCCCTGGCAGACAGGGGTGCCCCTCACCTCCATTCCTGAACTCATCTGCCATCACCTCTTCCCCACCCACAGCTCCCCAGAGGACGCTCCCTGCCCCACCCCCACAATGCCAGGCCTCAGTGGCCACGGGGGTGGGGGGCAGATCTAGGAAGGACAGTGGGCCTCCCTCCTCAGGCAGCTGGCCTGGGACTTGCTGGTTTGGGGGCCAGCAGGGCCTCATCCTGCGGGTTCCAAGAGGGCACAGGGGTCTTCCCTGACTCTGCTACAGACACCCACCTCCATGCGCTGCTGCTCCAGCATCCTCACCTTCTTCTCAGCTGCACCCAAGGCCCCCAGCTCCGGGGCCTTACCTGGCATCACACTGGCCTGAGGAGACAAACAGCAGCCTTCACCAGCACAAGTCTCCATGCAGGCTCAGTACCCATATTCCTTCCAAGGATCCTTACCCCGTGGCCCCAGCCTGCCTCTCCCATCTCCCACCCCAGTACTGGGAGAGGGCCCCAAACCAAAAAGAAGATTGAATAAAAATTTCAATTATTAATGAAAACAGTCACAGAGTCACTTATTGTGGGATAACCTGACAGAACAGAGGTGATCTAGGTTCACAGGACCGTGTGTACCGAGTGCACAGAACTCACTTCTGCGAGACCCCTACCCTGTCCACAGTGCAATCTAACCATGAGAAGATGCAGACAAACCAGACTGAAGAGCAGGCTACCAGGCACCTGGCCAGTGGAGCTCACAGGTGCCAAGATCACAGAAGTGAGGAACAGCTGGCCCAGTCACAGCCGGCAGGGGGCCGAGATGGGCAGCTCAGTGCTGAGTGAGGCCCTGGATTCAGTTGCAGAACAAAAGGACAACGCTGACCTTAGCAGAGCCTGTGGAGGGCAGCTGGGACCTGAGCTCAGCATTATTATCTTTGCATTTAAGACTATCTCAAAGCAGTTTTAAAACTGATTTTAAAATTTAGTTAACATTTTAAAATTAAACAAGTAAATAAAAACTACTGAACAAAGCTATGCACATAGAAATTGAGCCCTGGCTGCATCCCCTTGCCTGCTCTGCGCCTGGGCAAAGGACGAAAACAGGAGGTGGTCTCTGCATGCCCATAGGGCCCCTGACACACAGGCCCCCAACCCCACAGGTCCCCAAAGCTTGCCTGTCCTCCCTACCTCACCCTCCCCAGGATTGCATGCCCCCCAAGGCTGAGACCTGGAAGCACACTGCGACAGTGGGGCGCAGGGCAGGGGACCACAGCCAGTCCCACAGAGCCTCCTGCTCACTGGGGTGAGCTACAGAGAAGGAAAGGAGGGGATCCTGGGTGGCGCACCCAGAACCTCTGCAGAGAACTCGTGGACAGTGAGAAAGCCCAAGATGCAGACCTGAAGGGCCATTTACTACAACCAAGTGTCTTGTATGCACTGCACCCATGTACCCCTACAGTCTCAAGGGAGGTGCTGCAATCCCAAAGAGCTGACACTGCCTGTCCAAGATCAGGTGTGGGCAAGAGGTGCAACACCATGGGAACACACACCTTGTGGGACCCAGGGACCTGAGAGTCGCTGGGCATCAGCAAGGCAATGGGTAGGGAGGGTACTGGAAAGCAGAAGCTGAGGTGGCTCAGAGCAGCCATGGGGGTCAGGATAGTCCAAGCCTCCTCTAAAAAGGGTAGGGAAGGCAGGGATGGAGCTGAGGGGCACATGAAGGACAGAGGGCTCCATGGGTTGTGACTTAGAAGCATTTCCCTGGCTGCACCCACATCTGCCTGACAGCAGGTGCCACAGGCATCCCTGCAGCACAATGGTCACAGCTGGACACTGGAAGGAGTGTCCCAGGCGGGCCTACCTAGCAGGAAGCAAGGAAGGCACAGAAATCTGGGCATACACGACACTGCCTCATGGCAGCACACTGTTATGGTAATCACTACGACTGCACAGGTGCTTGTGCAATCACCAGCTTGTTACAGACACCAAGCCCCACTGTGCAGCTAGGAAGCCCCAATGAGGGGGAAAAGCACACTGGCAAAGGGAGACTCAGCGGTGGTGAAGATGGTGAGAGAGGTACTGGGACCCTGCCGCGGACCAAGATTGGGCCTGGCGGTCACTGGAGGAAATGCATTGCCCTGGACACCACTGGACAGGACCCTCCTGTCTCCATTTCAGAGGCTCCAGGGCTGCAGACACAGGAGCTGAGCAGCATCCCCAATGGGGCTCACTGACCTGAAACCCCATGCTAGTTTCCTATGGCAAATGAGCATGCTTAGGGAACACGCCCAGACCAAGGAAGACAGTGCCACCTTCTCGGAGCATCAGCCAACTAACCGGCAGCCAAGTAACAGGCAGCAAAGTCTGGCAAAGCCTGCAGGCTGCAGGGCCAGCAGATCTGAGCACCTGTCCCTGGAAAAGGGTGCTCTGCAGCCTGCAGGCAGGGAAAAGGCTGAGGATCAGATGCTGGGAGGCTGGCACCAGGCCGTGCCAAGCAGGCCTGCCTACCATCAGTGTCACTAATCACCAGGGAGGGTGCAGATGCCACAGAGGAAATCTCTAAGCGCCTACCTGCTGCTGCCTGGCTGCTGTCTTCTCACTAGCGCCCTCTGTCTTCGGTGAGCCTGGCCGCCCGCAGGTGCCCTCTTTGTTGCTGCTGTTCATCAACAACTTCTTGAGCTCCATATTCTCTTCTCTGGGTTGGAGGCAAGCAGAGCAATCATGATGCTGGCTCTGAGAGGTGGGGACATGGGGCTGCAGACCTGCTGCTGCTGTGTGAGCTACGGGAAGTGCAGGGAGCATGGTGAGACCCTGAAGCAGCCCACAAGTGTAGCTGGGAGAGCATTCTCTGGACCCTGGGCAGGTGGCCTGGGCGTTCCTAGAGGCCTCTGTGCAGTGCTCCTGGGTTCTGAGCACCTTGCTGGCACCTGTGTGTCTCCCATGTAATCAAAGAAAGAGCAGGCAGTGGGCTCAGCCTGCACCAGCAGTGACTCCGAGCCACGCCTGCCAACACCCTTTCATTCCCATTTAGAGTTATCGTCTGTTTAGCACAGGTAACACTGCTCTCCATTTACTCTAGTTAAAATTTCTTTAAGATAAATTTTAAGTAAAAAATGAATAAACTAAAATCTTAAGTATATGATAAAGTAGGTGTTACAGAATGAGAGTGGTGGTGAGATTTAGGGATGAGGAAATACGGAGAACACTGAATTCTACTGCCAGACAGGTTTCCACTTAGGAACGGACAAACCGGGACAGAACAGCCTTGCCTGCCTCACGGTGCAGGCGTAGACTCCGCCTTTGAATGCGTGAGTCTTGCTCAGTCTGACCTTCCGCATCCACGGATGTCACTGTGGCTATAAAACTCTCCAACATGGCTGACTGGAAGCAAGCGTAGACAGGCTGGCCGGGGCTTGGCATGCATCCCCATGGCCAAGCTGTGGCTAGCTGACTTCCCTCTCTGTCACCTTAGTGGGGTGTGCATGCAAGGTGCACAGCACACCCTTTCCAGCAGTGTGAGGGATGGCAGCATCTCATGCATGCAGAGCTCGGAGACCTGGGTGGGTCTTGCCTCTTTCTGGGGCTCAGGCCCCCATCACACAGGAGGGCCAGGCCTGTAGGACCACATAGGACCTGAGCTCTGACAATGGGGCTGAGTGTGACCCTGGGCCCACCCGCTCATGGAAACAGACACCAATGACACCTACGCTCCTTGGACCACCAACCTGGAGTCTGGCCAAGGTGGGGATGGAGGACGCAACGACCTCCTGAGGCCCAAGACCCACCAAGGCCACACCGGATTTCTGTGGGCCTCAGGAATATCTGAGCAGGGTAGGAGTCTGGCCAGCAGGGGGCAGCAATGCCCCAAACTGGCTCCATACAGCATACAGCCAGCCAGAGGATCCCCAGGAGGGCAAGGGTCCAAAGGGAGAGGTGAGGTGCAAGCACCAGCCTTCCAGTCCGCAGACCAGTCCCATGGTACTGAAAGGGCCCAAGAGGAGACGCCACAGCAGCCCAGCAGATGGGCAAGAGCCCGAAGGTGGCTGAGCCCAGAACCTGGACCTCGGATCCCACGTGTTAACTTTGCCTGCCCCCTCGCCCAGCCTGCTCACCTCAGCCTCTCTGCAGCCTGATCCCGCTGCTCCAGGCCCTTGTCCAGCTTGGCCTTCAGGGCCTCATTCTCTTTCCGAAGCTGCTCACACAGCGTCTGTGGGGTAGAGGGGTGGACAGTGGGGTGAGCAAGGGTGTCCCCTCCTCCACGCAGGTGTGGTTGTACCCCCTCTAAGTGGCTGTACACGCACGGTCCCTGGTGGGCCCCACTGTGGGAGCTAGCAGCCAGCAGCCTGACTGGGTACTGGCCTGGGCCTCTCTGTGCCCTGGAGATACCTCATTGAGGGGTGACACCCAGGTGACACCCTGGCTCCCTGTGCCTTGCAGATGTCCTCTGCTGCACCAGGTGTGAAAATGTTTGTTGACTGGACCATGAAACAAATCAGCGGAAGAATGAGGAGGAACCAGATGAACCCACCTCCACCCACAGGCCAGTGCCTGAGATACATGGGTGGAGCCTCTTGGAAACAGCACCTGCCCCGTCACTGAGGGGGCCACCAGGGGGCCCTGCTTGCTGCCCCCCAGGCCAGGGGCTGTGCCCTAGCCTCTGTGGAAATGTCCCAACAGGCACCAGCACTCAGCACTCAGTGGACAGGACTGGAAGCACATGGTCCCTGTGCTGCTCGCCTGCCAAGTGTGTGCTGAGTGCAGACACTGGTCACCATGGTGAGGGGGACAGGGCTTCGGACCCGCTGGCCTCTGGAACTTGTGTTCCAGCAGGAAGTGCAAGGAAGAGGGAGAATGAGCAAGAAAGCTTCCCCATAAAGTAAACCTACTGCAATGGGTGGACCATCACTGTCCTTGGTGGTTGTGTTTTGAAATTTTTTTTTTCTCTTTGAATGGATTTGAAAAAAAAAAAAAAAAAAAAAACTACTGCCAACTATGGTAGCAGCTAAGGAGGAGGCAGGCAGGAAGCTCACATAAAAAGCTGAGCTTCACAAGGCCCGTCAGGAAGGCTAGGGTCCCCCTCCATTTCAGCAGAAAAGCTGCTGCTCAGAGTGGCCTCAGCCTGCCCAGTGCCAGCTTCACCTGCCAGCTTCCGGCCTGCACCCTGAGGCTTTCGTGGCACCCAAGCCCCAGCCTGCCTGCAGGCCTGCATGCTGCACGCCCACCTCTGTCCTGAGGTGCAGGGGTGTCCCATGTGCCCTCTGTCCCCAGTCTCTCTTCATGCCACACACCCAGCCTGGACATACCCTGCTCCTGTCAACCCCATCTGCCTGAGGTCAGGGGTGGCCCCTCTTCTCCCCTCATCCATGGATGTCTGCAACACTCGCCTACTGACCAGTGGCTGGCAAGGAAGGAGGGTCTCTGGAGGGTCACCAAGGTTAAGTGGCTCCTTCCCACCTTCAGCACTCAAGGCTAAGACGTCCTGCCCAGCAAGGGCGACCCCTCACACCATCCTGCCAGTGCCTCGTGCCCTGCTAGATTGCATTGTTCAGCACAGCAATGGCTGGGGAAGCACCCCAGTCACAGCACTGCAAGGGACAGTGGGGTGCAGAGAAGACAAGTGACAGAGAGCCATAAAGAACTAGCAAGCCATTGGCCTATTCCTGATGCATAGGGAAGCTTTCAGAGAGTTCCACTGGCAGGGCGGGGTGGGCTGTGACGCTGGTTAAGAACACAGGCATTGTCTGTCTGGCAGCACTGGTATGTAAACCAGGACCTGCACCCTGAGCTACGTACGTCCTCAGCCATCTTTCAAGTTTTTGTCTTGAGGCAGGGGTGGCTAAACTGCTAAACTGTCCAATTTGGGTGGCAACTTCTGACCCTCCTCCTCAGTGTTCCAGAGTGCTGGGATGGCAGGTGTGTGCCACCACACCCAGCCAGGATCATGAGCTTTAGAACCCACAGGCTGAGGCTGGACGGCAGCTCCATGTACTTCGAGGTGACGGGCAATGAGCATTTCTCCAGGGCTGCTTCTCCCTGTGATGTGGGGACAGTACTGTCCCTCACCTCAGGGGAGGAGAACCTTTGTCTTGCTCCGCCCCCTGCACAGAGGACAAACGCAAGGCGGGCCACCCGCCACAGCTCCCTGGGGCCCCTCAGGGTATAGCCAACCTAGAAGAGTGCACTGCCCACCTCAGGCTTCCCCACTTCTTTCCCCTTCCTCGCATGGTCCACCATTTCCTTACAGCGTTCCACTTGCCACCCTGAACAGGAAGCCCACAACTCAGGCTCAGAAGTCCCCACGGTGCGCCGGGTGCCCAGGATTCCTCAAGAGCCGGGGGCGGGCTCACCTGCAGGATAGAGGTGCGCTGCTCGTTCTTGTGCACCTTAGAGGCTAGACGGTTGAACTCCAGCGCCATACGGCCCAGGTGGGTGAAGAGCTGGCTGTGGTCAGGCTCCTCTGCACACACGCTCAGGGTGGTCTCCAGGCGCTGCAGGTGCTGCATCAGATTGCCGTCCCCGCGGGGCAAGGGGCCTGGCTCCTGTGGGCAGGGGGTGTTACTGGGCTTTGCTTCCTCCACTGCTTCTCCTTTCCTCATGACTCAGTTTCCACACTGGCCTCAGCACTGTCCTGGGAAATTCTCTAATTGCACAGGTTCCCTGTCTGGGGCTGACTCACAGGGCAGGACCCAGGCCGCAGGACACTTGCTAGCTCTGCAGCACCAGGGCCACCTTCCTCCTACACTCCAGGCCTTGCTGAGTGCTGCGGGCAGATGTTCAGGCGGCCTCCCTGGGCTGCTGAAGGCCCACACTGGCCCTGCCCTCCTGCCTCCTGGGCTTCTGATGAGGAGGCAGGCACTCAAGAGAGGAGCAGTCTCCATGGGTGCACCCTGCTCCTCAAGAGCCGAGACACTGCTGGGAAGGGCTCAAATGTTCCCCTGCTTCCCAGAGAGCCCCAGACTCCAGATGGCTGAGAAGTACAACTCCACCCCTTTCGGAAAGCACACGTGGAGTGGAATAGATTGCAGGGAGCCAGTCCACCTCATGGTCTGCTCTCTCTACAGCACTCCAACCAAAGATACTGCTCGGATGGGTCCACGCAGGCCCAGGGTCTCCACAGGAACCTTCCAGACCTGACTTCCCTTCAGCGGCAAGTAGCTCGGAGTGGCCTCCCCTCTGTCCCGCCTGCGTCCCTGCACCAGGCCCTGCTCTTCTCTGGACTTCAGCCCCACAGCTTCTACTCTACCTCTGCAGGTCCTGCTCCTGTGTCCCCTCTGCCCACATTCCGGTTCTTCCAGAAACAGGTTGGGGAGTGACGGCATCCCAGCTATGGGGTCTCAGGGCTCATGCTGGAACCAAGGTGCATGCAGAGGCATTTCTCACAGCCGCCTGGCAAGTCAGTGGCCCAGCTTGGACAGAGCGGAGGGTTCCTAACTCCGATCTGTGCTCCTGCTCGCTGACCTCCCTGTCCACACTCACAGTGCCCAGTCACCTAGGGAATGCCTACTTCATGCTGGCAGCCCTGCAAGCTAAGCCAGCCCTGTGCTTGCTTCCGATCTTCACTGCAGTCCCCTGCCTTTCCCAGATCTAAAGGGGCGGTGCGCGCTGTTATGTAAGGCACTCGAGACTCGCCCCACTCGGCTTTTGGCTTCGGGCTTTCTCTGCCCGCCCAGTGCCTCCTGGGGCTGGAGAAGGCTGCCTGTGGCCCAGCATGGTGGTAAGCATGCAGGACTAACGGAAGAACTTCCTAGAGACCAAGGGGCTGGTGAGCAAGAGGGGAGCTGACTTCTGCCACCCTGAGGCCCCACAGCTGGGATGCCCATCACTCCCCTACCTATTTCTGGAAGAGCTAGAGTGTGGGCAGGGCCGACACAGCTCCCCTGTCACTCTTCAGGGCAGAACAAGGGACACAGAAGCCCAGGGGACAGATGGGGACCCTTTCTAGCAGCACCGTAAGAGCTGCCTGGAGCAGCAAGGAGCCTCCTCAGCAGAGTGTGCTGGCACACGCCAGAAGCCCCTTCACACACATCTGAACAGAAGAGCAACAGCCACCCAATCCTTAGGGAGCAAGGCAGCAGGAAGCAGGGCATCAGTGAAGGGCGGGACTCCACATTCCCAGCATAATGCAGAGTCACAGGCTCCCAGTCAGGCGGGCAGAGGGAGGGGAAGGAGGAGGAAGAGAAGGGAGGGGAGAGGAGGGAGGAAGAGGGAGGAGGAGGAGGAGAAGGGGGGGGAGAAGGGGGAGGAAGAGGCAGGAAGAGGAGGAGAAGGGGGAAGAGGGGGGAGGAAGAGGGAGGAGGAGGAGAAGGGGAGGGAGAGGAGGAAGGTTCCAGATTGCCCAGAATGGCTCTCCACTAAGTCATTTTAGGAGAGAAAAGCAGGAAGACATGGTTGGCACAAAGGTGGCAAAGTGTAAGGCACGAATGAGGACGCCGGAGAATATGCCTTGGAGCTGAACCAATGTGTGTGCCTCACCCCAGAAGCCTGCACACCTGCCTCAGTGGCCCTGGACCTTCCTGGCTCTCCTGCCCCCCAGGCTAGGACTGCGCGGCCCCCGGGGCTGAGTGGTCCAGGGCTGAGACGCACTGTGTGGAGGCAACTGCCCAGAAGGCAGCAGGGCTGGCGGCCCGCACAGGCTTTCACAATAGTTGGGTGCTGGGTGCCCCATGTGGGGAAGTCATTGGCCCAACGATTTGCATACAAGAGCGAGAAGCACCCCCTGCTCCAGGCCCTCCGAGTCCCCATGTGATTGCAGGGCACCCAAGGGACCTGACTGACCCTGTGCTTCTCACACAGGGCAGCTGCCGCAGCGCAGACCAAACATCAGGACATGCTCAGAGCCTCTGTCCACTCACCATCGAGTGCCTGGGGTGGCTGCCACTGTCCGGTGGAGAACTTTGCTCCTCAGAGGGGACCACTTCAAATTCAGAGGACGTGCCCTGTGGAGAAGTGAGGGGCTGTTCAAGAGAGCACGCCTGGCCTCTTTGGGACCCACTCGGGGAGCAGCAGGGGAAGGGCAGGACCAGGGCACCCACTCTGCAGCCGGAGCCCGCCCAGCCAAGCCTGCGGGCGCTCTGCACTCCTGTGTGACTACACTGTGGCTCCATCTCCTGTCAAGCTGCTGTGCTCATGGGAGGGCCTGGGGCGTCCCTGGAAGTAACTAGTTTGCCCCTGTAGAACAGGGCTGCCTTGGAGGGCTGGCACTTCAGGGTTACCTTCTGTTCTGTGTCGCAGTACCAGGGGCTGAACCCAGGGCCTTGAGTGCTAGACGAGCACTCTACACTTTGCAGCATTCTCAGCCTTCTAAATTTAGGACAGCATTGGGGATGACAGGTGTGAGCCACCATGCTCGGCGATGGTTACATTTTTGAAGGGCCTGGACTTTTAAATGTGTTCATGAACTTCATTCATTCTCAGAACTCCTGGTGGAGAGGGTCTGAAGGGGGCATCTCCTGGGAAAGCTAAGGAAACAAGGCCATACAGACAGCGCCTAAGCAGGCACTGGACCTGCGACTGCGGGCACCGCTATGGCGTTGGAGCTGTCTGCTCACCCATATGGCTCTGACCAGCTGTAAGGTGACACGAGCAACATCTGCCACAGCTACCACCAGACAAGCTCATGCACCAGCCTTGCCAACCTGGTCTCAGATGCCAGTGGAACAGACTGACTGAGAAAAGTCCCAAGACAGTTCAACACAACGCAGAGTTTCTGAACTCACTCAACCCCTCAGTGACCATCTAAGCCTGTACTTTTTCATACTTCACAGCCATTCCAAGTAGACTTCTCTGCTTGCTCACCTGACTGATGGGGCATCGGTCCAGCAGAACCTACACTGGCTCTAGGATTCCCATTAAACCCAGTTAAAAGACCATTACCTGCAGGGCACTGTGATGCATACTTGTCACCCCAGCAAGTGGGAGGCTGAGGCAGGAGAACTGCTGTGAGTTGATGGCGAGCCTAGGCTACATAGTGAGTTCAAGGCCAGCTTGAACTATATAGCAAAACCCTGTCTCAAAAAACAACAAAGACTATCTTAACCTTCCTTTGTCCTGAGCCAGGGCAGGACAGACGAAAGAAACCACACCCAGAGTCCAGCTCACACCATAGTCTCACACCATAACCACAACTCTGGTCTGAACCCTGCCCTACAGAGTCCTCCTAGCCCTATCATGGTCCCAGTTACCCGTGAGATTTTGAAAAAGGCCCTTTTTTCCCCAGACAGAACCCCTTGGGTGCCTCTCCCAGGCCTAGGATATACCCAGTCAACCTTCCCAAAACTGCAGAGGGTTTTTCTTTTTGTTGAGACAGGGTCTCCATACATAGTGCAGGCTGGCCTTGAACTCATTATGTAGCACAGGCTGGGTTTGAACTCACAGCGAACCATCTGCCTCAGTCTCCTGAGTGCTGGGAGTACTGGCGTGAGCCACCATGTTTACTGCAGGGGGTAACTCTTAGGGCATCTGAGTCCCATGTCACAGGTCTATTTTCCTAGCACCAGGCACAGTGTATACTTTGCTAAATACTTTCTTATATATTTTGTTATCCAACCTTGTAAAACAAATTCATTCCACACACCAGGTCTTCCTGCTGCGTTATACCTACAATTTCCACTTTAAGTGGGCAAACTGATGCCTCACAAGCTTTGAGACTGCCTTGCTCAGTACTGCTAGCCAGTTGGGATGCTGGTCTCCGTATTTCTGTATCGCCCGTAGGACAGTAAGGTCTGGCAAACCCCAAATGCAACTTACACTAGACGGAGGCTTTGGGCCTGGTGTGGACTTGTCGCTTGGGTGTGCAGGAGCAGTGGGTGGTGCTGTGACGCTAGGGTCCTTTCCTGGAACAGACAAGGATCGCTGAAGATGACACTGAGAAGGGGGACAGTGCAGATGGCGGCCTTCCAAGGGCTGTGCTTGACCAGGAGCCCTGACACAGAGTTCTCCCCACAAGATGGGGATAGGGTGGGCAGTTCTCTGAGGACTGAGGGACAGAGGTGGAGACTGGACAGACAGGCTCCCTTTACTAGACTTGCTAAGGTGCTACCACTACCTGGGCCCGCTTCAGTGACAGTAAGGACAGTGATTTACAACTGAGAAGTGGATTTGTAACTATTTTCCTGGTACTATATTCCCATTTCTTTTTTTTGTTGTTGTTGTTGGTTTTTTTTTTTTTGGTACTCAGGTATTGAACTCATGACCTCGCACTTGCCAGGCAGGCGCTTATGCTGCTGAGCTAAATCCCCAGTCCTATATTCCCATTTGAAAAGGAGATAGGAAATGGGCTTGGCAAGATCACCGCCTTGCCCACAGTCCCACCCAACAAACCAGGACCAAACTCAGCTGTTTCCCCAACCTCCTGGTGCTGTATGCCGGGTGCTCGAAGGTGACTGTTTCACTTTGGGGTAGGCCTGGCACCAAGCAGGCACTTGGGAAGGGGTGCTGAGCACTGGGCTGGGCACAGGTGGTAAGGTGGAGCCATGGCAGGTGGCAGCTGCGTGCCCCACGTAGCCCCGTTTCCTCCCTGTTCCCAGACTTTGGCCTGGGCTTGGAGATGGGCTGGAGTACTGTAGGGTGACCACACCTTGTCTTTGACCCTTAGTCACTGTCACACCTGCCTTTAACAGACGGACGTGTGAACTGTGCTGTGCCAGGCTAACAGGCAAGTCAGGATTCTCCGAGCTTCAGCTTCCTGAATTACAAACCGTGGGGGAGGGGCAGAGCAGAAAGCGCTGAGACACAGAGCTGCCTGGCACCGCATGCAGGGCACAGGTTGCTGGTTAAGTATCTGTCAGGTCAAAACTCAGGCCAAGGTCCTGGGGCACTGTCTGGGGTGGAGCAGGTCACTGAGATTGGCTCATACACCAGGCCTAGGAGCAATGACAAACCGGCCAGTCTAACAGGACTCTGAAGTCCCTTCCAGATCTTCTGACTTTTCCGGGGATTCTGTAGCCAAAATAGGCAGGAGGTATGGCTGAAGGCCAGATGAAGGGGAAGCAGACTTTGGAAGGAACGGGGAGCTGTTGTTCAGGGCTGGGTGCTGGGGCAAAGGAGCACAGTCATCTCGACCCTCGACCCTCTCTTACCTGTGAGCTCAGTCAGGTGGTCAAAGGAGCCCAAGGAAGGAGACGGTGGCGCCTCGTCATCCTTGACGAGCTCCTCTGCCTTCTGCCGGAGCCTGGATGCTTCCATCTGGGATTCTTCCAGAAGCTCCCCTGGAGAGACGGGGAAGGAGGAGCAGCGCAGCCGCGCTTAGCCAGTGCAGTGCTTGTCCCTGGCCCGTGGTCTATACCTCCCTCTGCCTGGTTTCCAAGCGCAGGCCCAGAGCTTCACCACCACAGCTTTGTGGCCCAGGTGGGACAGAGCCAGCACTGGCCTACTAAGAGACCCAGAACCAGGCTGGAGTGAGGAAGATATCTTGGCAATCAAGAAGACAGGAATGAAAGGGAACCCAGAACTCAGGAACCCAGTAGGAAGACCAGGTCCCCTGGTGTTCTCTTCCTGCCTCACGCCTCCATGTCTGGCCAGAGCACAGGAGGCCAAGGGCACTCCAGGGCCTGCTGCACAGTACCCCAGAACTGGCCACAGCCTAAGCCCCAGAGTCAGGCGTTACTTGCATGGTGGAGGCCCTGGGAAGACCACCCAGCACCCTAGGCTGCTTCCCTCCTCTAGCTGTAGAAGAGTAAATCCGCCCTCCCCCTCCAGCTGGCATCCCAAGCAGGAGTCTGACATGTAGAGGAAAGCATCTGAGAAGTCAGGAAGCCATGCTCCTGCCACCTCCAAATCCTGAGGCCAGAGGAGTGACATCAGGGCAGAGGAAGAATTTTAGGAGCTAGAGGGTGGAAAAGTCTGAAGAGCCTGGCATGCAGGAAATGCTTGTATGCCTGCATGTGGGCACACTTCGGGTAGAAGGTGGGGACAAGCTTAAGCAGAAGCCAGAAGAGAAACTGAGGGAGCAAATGCCACTTTGCTTTAGCTCCTTGTCCCCCTCTTGGCTGTCTGGGCAAGGCTGGCTCTCCCTACTGGTCAGGCCCCAGAAGAGGAGACGATGACAGTTCCAGGCTCACAGTCTGGGCCTTTCAACCCCAACTCCCCATCCTGAGCATCTTCAAGGTTCTTTGGTTGATGGGGAATCAGGACTGGAATATTGTCACCACGCTACACAAGTGCACAAGGACACATCTATGAGGCAGGGCCACCGGCCAGGGGGTAAAGTGGTAAATGCCAGCCGTGTTCTCCCACCACAGACTGCAGGAGGGGCAACCAGGAAGGAAGCAGATGCTCTTTACCTAACATCTTTATCCCTTGCATTTTTTCCTTCAGCCGAGAATTCTCCTCCACTAGGCGCACAAGAGCTTCAGAGGCCTCTCCTGGAGGTGTGCTGCCTCCAGGGTCGTAGATCCGGTAGGGTCCTCTCCCTTCCATGGGGGTGGCTTAGCCCACCTGGCTGTAAGGACAACAGCAGGGAATCAGGGGACTGGGCAGGCCATCAGGGCATTCTTTCTGGGCCAGCTCTCTCCTGCCAATGTGCCAAAGGCAGCCCACACGCCTCAGAGCAGGGCAGAGATTTGGGGCTGGTCTGACCACAGTGTGCAAGGCAGAGTAGGTGCCACCCTGGACCTGGACACTGGGCTCCATCGTGACCTCACTGCACTGCCTGCTCCCCAAGGACAGCAGTCAACTACAGAGGTGCAATGTGTACTAAGAGAAAGAACCTGGACTTGAAATCAAAACACCTGAGTTGGTGTCCTGCCTGGTACACCCAGGCCAGGGATCCTGCATCCTCAGTGCCCCACAGTATCAGCTATGACGTAAATGTCACCCGCACACTTAGCAAATGAGTAAGTGGCCTAAGCCATTAACTCACTGCGGCCTGGGGGAGTCCCAACCCCTCTCTGATGAGGGGAAACAAGTGTTAGACTCAATCGCTGAACTTTACCAATTGAGAAAACCCTGACTAATATTTCATACACTGTCACCCTCCTTCTCTGGTCTCAGGTCACGAGCAGGCTGTCCCCTACAGTTCTAATGAACACGAAAATTTCCCACCAAACCACTGTCTACTTATTTGTACAGCAAGTTTTTCTGTATTAATCGGTTTGATTTCATCTGCTTTATTTCATTTAAAATTATCCTGCAGAGTAGCCTCGCAATCCTGGTTCCATGACTCAACGAGAGAAACTCTTCCTGTTCACAAATTCATTCATGACAATTGTGCTGGGCTGTGGGCTGGGTGTCAGGAAATCACTGCTTCCTGGAAGGCTCAAACCCCAACAGGAGCCAACCTTGGCCCTGACTGCTGCAAGCGGAGGCCCTGAGCACAGCCAGCCACGTCCTGGTGCAGGGTCCCGCAGGCACACATCCTCATGAACTTATGTCCATGAAGTAGAGGGCAAAAGGATGTTAGACAGGTGACAAAAAAGTCTAGTGACAAAAATTAAGCAGAAAAGTGAGGCGGGGACTTTCATAAGAAGCAGGAAAGGCTTCACAGTGAAGCAGCAACCTGACAAGTGTGGGGAGGTCATAGAGCAGAGAGAAGGCAAAAGAACGCAGCCAGCCTCCACTCCAGGACAGCTCCTAGTGCATCCACCATGGATCTCAGAAAGACACAGGAGAGGCCCCAAATCTCCCTCCCCCAGGGCAAAACCTGCGCTCCTCAGAGATCTTCGAAGGCCCTGTCAAAGCCGCAGAGACCAGGAAAAGTGAAGCCGGGTGAAAACCACCACTGCTCATTAGCCACCCGTCAGCCAAGCAGTACACTTGGCTTTCAGATGTCTTCTTTCCATGAAGACACATCCGACCTCATCCTCGTTTCATCAGGGACACAGTGGGCATGGCCAGGGTACATAACTCAGCTGAGTGACAAGGCCACAAGCACAGAGCAGCTGCAAAGCCAGCTGCACCTGCCTAGGAGGGCTGAGTCTTTATAACCTGTGTCATCCAGTCAGGCCCCATAGCATCCTCTGCAAGGCTGGCGAGAGGGGGACAGAGAGTCTCAAGGTCATCTGCAGGCAGTCTCAGGCTAACTAGTAGCCTCTGGCTCTTTCCCCTGCCCTGTAGCTAACAATGAACAAGCATTTTGCCAAAAGGTCCCCGGAATGGAAGGGACTAGGAAGAAAAAGTTCTGCCAAGCAAGGCAACTCCTCCAAAGGCTGACAAACAGATGAGCACACCCTGCAAGGGGCGCCCTCATCCTGCTGGGCCCCATGAGGCAAAGGACAGCTGCCCACACAACACACAGAAGTCACCACTTGCTCAGGAGCAACTAGTTTTTAGCTTCAAAGGTCAATGTGATAAGCAGGGCAAGGCAGCACAGATGCAATGCAGCTGGCGTGAGTGAAGCCCTAGCCAGCTCAGGTGCTGCCCCAAAGCCCTGAATACGGGAGTGGAGGGGAAGGGGGGGCAGGGTCCTCCCCTACTGGCCTTTCTCCTCACAGCAGGATAAAGGGAGTGGCGCTTTGGACTCCCTGAGGCCGGCAGGCAGGCACCACAAATCTCCACCTCATGTTTCCAGAACTCAAAGGTGGGCTGCCCTTGGGAGGGGAACAAAGTTCACAGGTGGGGAAACTGAGGGCTGAAGGGGTCTGATGTGGCCTTGCAAGGTAAGTTTTAGGGGCGTCTTGGCTCCTGTCATTCGCCCTAACAGACCCACGTCAATCAACAGTACACGATGACATGCATCGTTTCTAATGCCCTGCCTGGCATTCTCAGCAGATTGGAAGCCCCCTGCATGCAGATCCTCATCCACCTGTGTGCTGGGCACCTTTGGAGAATGGCCTCAGCACACCTCCAACTCACAGCAAGAGGACTGAGAGACCTTGGTCCTCACTTCTGGAGAGCAGGGTCCCAACACCCCAGGGAGAGCCTGCCTATTATCCTTAGCAGAGGCACTGTGCGCAGTGGTGGGCTTTCGGGCAGGGACAGCAGCTACTGTGAGGAAACTCCCTGGACATCCAAGGGGCTGCCACAGTAGGGGCGCAACTCTGGAGGAAGGACAGAGAGGAATGGGGAATTTACAGGCATGCTGACCTCAGGCCCCACCGGTCAGCAGCAGTCCCAGAAGATCTGGGCAGACAGGAACTCCCTGTGGTGAGTGACACTCCAGTCACCTCTCCTGGAGAATTGAGCTCAGGATGACAGAGCTGGAATGGAATCTCCAGAAGGAAGCCAATCCCCCGTTACCAAGCAGGGAGGAGACAACAGTCAGTGCATGAAGGCCAGGGACCTCAGGGACAGTGTGAATCCCTTCCGCAGCACAGTATAAGCACAGTGGAGCAGGTAGCACCGACCTGTTGAGCAGTAGCAGGAGCTCACCTGCTTCTCAAACTCGGCACAAGCAGGGCCCAGAGCAGGGAAAGCCAAAGTCACGGAAAAGGCAGAATGGCGTTGGGATCAGGAGGTCCCACTCTATACTGGAGCCCTCACTCAACTTCCTATGGGGTCTGGCTATACCTAAAAGCCACATGTCAGCAGGTGATCCACCAGCAATGACACACCAGCCCACAAACAGCCACAGGTGAAGAGCAGCCAGCTCAGACCTTGCAACAGATGCCGTGGCAGTGGGAGGGGGGCCAGACCCCTAGGTGGCATGAATTTGCGTAGCCACTAACATCTGTCCAACACTCAATATCTTCCCAAGCCCGGTTTTCCGTCTGATCTCACCGTAGCCCTGGGAAGAAGGCAGGGCTGATGGGTCTGACAGATGGGGAAACCAAACTCAATGGGGATTCACTGGCCCAATTTTATGCCACTGGTGGACCCACAAGCTGGAGGAAGCGCTGTTCTCCCTGGCCAAAAGGAACAGCTCAGTCGGATCTCTGGTCCCAACTGACAGGAGGTCATGGTGGTGGGGCCGAGATTTAGCCCAGTGGCATAAGAGGCAGGCGCATGATTATGACTTAAATCCCCCATATCAAAAAAATTGAGAAAAAATGGGGTCATGGTGGCAATGTGTACCTCCCTGGCAAAGAGGGCAGGGACTGGGTTGGGGTTTATCCGGGAAAGAGCTCAGAACAGAAGGTCAAATCTGCTCACCACCTGTCCTTTTCCTTATGCACAAGGGAGGAGCCAGGACCGCAGGGAAATCGTGTGATGTGCTAATGCTGAGCAAAGGACCAGAGGAGACCTGGGCCTTAGGAGTGAAGGGGACAAGCACGCTGGAGCCCACACCACCTTGGATCAGAAATACGGGTCCACACCAGTCTAGGAGAGGCCGAGGCAAGTCAGGCGCCGAAGGCACCACCCTGGAGACAGCAGGCCGATCTGGGCCTTATCTCTGCACTGCTCCCAGCTCTGCCCCACTGCCCTCCCAGGTTGTGGGCCCGCTCAGCCACTCACTCCCCCTTAGCTGCCTCATCACAGGAATCTCCTGGTGTGAGATTAAAGAAAGTACATGAAGCAAGATGTGTAAGTTGGCAGGGGTTTTCACTTTCTACTGCATATTTTCTGATGACTTTATTTATTTAATAAGAAACACACGTTCATTTTATAATTAAATTCCCAAAGGAGTAACAGTGATACCCATGATGATACAGTAACAGAACCCAGCTCAGTATTCCACACACAGCATGCAGCACATGCTTGGCAAAAGTCTGGGGCAGTAACTAAGGGCGCAGCTGATCTAAGCACCTCAGCTTCCCCTCTGCAGTCCCTCCTGCAACAGAGAATTTTGGGTTCCTCTGTGGACTCAGGAAGCAGGACTACAGCTTCTGCTAATTCCCAACAACCTGCAGATAACCCCTCGCTGGCCTCAGATCCACAGTCATGGGGTACAACACTTCAGCTGGTGAAGATGAGGCTCAGAAGATCAGGACCCCAAGAGATGAGACGAGACTGGACCTCACTGTAAGGAGGACTGTCCCACAAGTCTACCCAAGCACAGCAAGCGAGCACCCTGAACGACACTGCAAAATGCAACTCACATTCTGGTTTGAGGGTGATGTCTGGTCCTCCATGGTAGCCCCAAGTGTATTGGTCAAGACTAGGATAGACTTTGAGGGAGTGAAACCACTCTGACACAGTGATGGGAGACATGTCATGATACATCTGTCCAGCACATGCAACACAGCATCAAGAATGAACCCAAATGAAAACAACGAAACTCAGTAATGACAATTCCCATAGAGTCCCTGACTGTAACCAACATGGTCACACTCTGGGGGGGGTGTGCTGGGTAGTGGTGGGGCAGACTGCATGGCAGGGGCAGGGACACACAGGAACTCACTGACTGTACCTCCTTTCAGTTTTGCTGCGGTGCTGGCCATGATGGCACACACCTGTAATCCCAGCAGTCGGGAGGCTGAGGCAGGATATCACTGTGAGTCTGAGGTCAGCCTGGGCTATATAGTGAATTTGAGGCCAGCCTGCACTATATAGCAAGACCCTGCTTCAAAAAACAGAAAAAGAAAAAGAAAAATTCCACAAACAAATCAATTTTGCTGTGGACCT